AGTTGCTATCTGCAGTGATGATGTCAGCATTTATGGATGACATGCCATCCATGTCATCCATAATCTACTGAAGACTTTCCACAATCTTCTTAATGACATCTTGATCTTGAAGCTATGGTTAACTTGTAGGATTCATTGGGGGAAAAAACACCCATGAAATGTTTCCACCCACTTCAATTGTGTTCACTATTATTATTTTTTTTAATCTACAGCTTTTGAAAACCATTAAAACATAACTGCCGTATGACGTGTGATGAAAACGTTCTAAGAACAGGCTGTAAAACTAAAGAATTTGGCCAATCTCTGAGGTCATCTTCCTGTGCACCTCTGCACCATCCTCCATCTTTCAGTAGTTTTGTTTTTGTCCTTGTAATTGTGCTTCTGTGAGGGGTGGTGGATCTCCTCCAGTGGGGCTCCTTCAACTGGATATTTGTTTTGAGGAAGAGAATGAAGTTTCGGGGAGGCAAATCTGACAGTGTGAGACAACAGATAATGTGTCACTGGCAACACAGTAAGCAAACTAGAGTTTATCTTGTCTTACTTGTCCGGAGGCAGGTCACGACATGGGGGGAGGCAGATGGTGAGGTCCAGGTGAGTGCTCATTGGTTGTGGGTGCAGAGAGTCCGGTGGGTCCAAGAGGGAAAGGCAGTGAGCGAGGCAGGTGAAGCAGAGAACCAGAATGGCGACGATGATGGCTGCGAACCAACTGAGAAACCAGCATCCAGGTGAATGTGACAAATTGCAAGGGTGGATGGATAATCTAATGAGTATTAAATTACAGGAGACAAACCAGTCAATACAACAAGAATACGATGGCTTAACATGAACAGCACTTAAAGGCTTGGCACTAACGAGGGTTAGCAGACAATCTAGCGAAGATTCTTTGAGAGCGCTGGACATAAATACAGCCACGAAGATTAGCAACAGGTGTGGACACTTGGACGGGTTGCTGAGGCTCCATCTGTATGCAGAGACCAATCTAGTGGAAAACACAAAGCCACTCACCTGGACCATGATACATATTCTTTCAAGCTGGATCTCAAGATCTCTGTCTAAATAAATAAATAATTCTTGGTAAATTCCCAGATGATCAAACATGCAACTATTTTGCTGGTAATAACTGAAATGAGTAAAGAAAATCAACAGCCTACTTTTGCAAGATAATTCATAATTTTATTTGGGGGGTTATATCGGCTGGGTCTGATTATTTATGGGGGGATAAAACCCCTAACCCCCCTGGAAATTACGCCCCTGCTTTTGCTAAACTCTTCCTTTGAATTTTTTCCTGTATTTGCGCTTTCCACCACCAAGAGGATACACCAAACATCTTCTTGGCAGTCTACCTCACCACACCAGTCATGTGATAACTCTTCCCTACCACCCTGTCCACCACCCAGCTTGTCTCAACTCCTCCCTGAACTCATCATTCAACATTCTTCCTTCTTCAACTTCAGCCATTTAATTCTGGCTTCGACTTTCACTCCTTGGCTCTTCTTGATTTCCAAACTCATTTTACAAACTACCATCCAGTGCTGCCAAGCTACATTCTCCCCTGCCACCCTCTCGCAGTCTGCCTCTTTCAGTTTGCATCTTCTGCACAAGAAATAGTCCACTGTGCACCTTTCTTCACTCTTATATGTCACCCAATTTCCCTCCCTGTTTTTGTCCACAGTATGTGTCCTTGTACATTTCTTTACCCACCCAACACTTCCTCATCACCCCTGCTCCCTGAACCTAACCCATTACATTTCTGATTGTCTGATGTGTCTCTTGGAAGATGTTTTTATAGCCTGGGCTCAAAAACAAATTCTATACCATGACCTAAGTCACAAAAATATGTTAACACAATTAAAACACTCTATAAATTGCAGCCCAAATGCAGCCCAAATGACACAGACATCATCACATTGTACTTCAAACATCCTCCTCTGCCTCCAAACTGACCCTCACTCTTTGAAGTTTTGAAGATTTCTAGTAACACTGCTGATAATCTACTGATCACTATCTTCAATTGAAATCATTATTTACACTCAAGTTTCACCTGGACACACTCCTGGGAGTCTTTTACACTTCTGTACTGTTCATCAAAGCTGCATGTGCAAATGTGACCTGAAATGCTCGCAACATTAAATGGGCTTAAGATATTAAGTGTTTAATAGAACAGTGGGTGGATAAACTATCTCTGGTATAATTACTGCCCTGGATTTGTGATTTTGGCGGCTTAGAGCGGTTTCATGCTGAGCTGCCTCTCTTCTTCGTGGCGCCTCCGTTCTGTAGGTGTGAGAGAGATGAGGCAACACGTACTGCGGTGCAACACGTTTGGCATGTTAAAGGTAACCAAAGGGTATGAAATACAATGAAACAAAAAGGTGAAAGCATGTCGCACAATACACGAAAGGGAGGGTTTGAACAGTTAAAGCACAAAAGACAGATTAACAGACAACAATTCGCCTACTTTAATGCAAATGAATCCAGCCATAAATGGCCATAATTTTCATTTCATAATTACTTTTTTTCTCTATTTTTTTTATACACTTTGGTTTTCTGTGTGAGAAGACACAAATCGTGAGCAGCCCCACCTGCACAGACAGAAAGCTGCAGACTCAATGAGCAGCTCAAAGCAGATAATGGAAAAGACAAGTGGGACTCAAGTTGCTTCCTAAATGACTCAAAGGCTTCCTAAAGAGTTTTAAACAATGAGCCGCTGTTTGCTCTGTCAGCCTGGGTCTCAGAGGGACTCAGATTGTTCAGGTATTAATGGGCAGCCTCTGTTTACTTTGAGCTGTTTGCTGATGGATCATCTTACTTTTTTTTGTTGTTTACCTGCAGGAAGCTTCTCCTGACTGCAGCAGCAACTCACGATAATGAAACTGGACTTCTTTCCTGATTTAGGAGGTTTGTGCTTTTTCAACAAAAAAGAATTTTAGAACCAGTTAAAGATCAGTAGGAGATCGGCATCTCACAGTAGGACATTACTTCCCACCATTTGCACCTTTCCTCTGACACACATGTTTAAAAAAAGAATAAAGAAAAATGTTTCCATTAATTCTGAGCATCAAACATTCCAACTTTCTCTATCATTTCCCTTTTTGCATCAATTTATGGAGGAAAACGACAAAATTCAGGCAGCAGGTGAGAATTCAAAATAGAATGAAACATAATACACTGAGACTCCCAGGCATTCTTTATTGCTTTTAAATATTTACTCTCCTTTACTTTTCTCATTTCATGTTCTCCCTGCTGAGTCAACATGCACAGAGGCACGATTTCTGTCCTCTTTTGTTTTGGTGGCACCCTCTTTAAATGTGCATGTGGCACCTATTCATGACAGCGAGTCATCATTTTATTTTATTTTCATAAGGTTTTTAGAAGCATTGGAAAGGAGAAAGTCTCAATTCCCCAATAAATACCTCCAGTTAGACGACGGTGCGTTGTGTGTGCCATAGTTTATTTCCACAGTAAAACTCTTTTTAATCTCAGATTAATCATTTTAGCAAATAACACTTCAAAGTAATAAGTAAAGTACAGAAAACTTCAGTAAATGATTCTCCATCTGCTTGATTTTTGAGAGTTTCTGAAAAAAAAATCCTCATGGTTAAATAAAACAATATATTACAAAGTTACAAAATATAAGAAATAATACAAATTTTTATATATTAGAGTTATTTCTTATATTTTTTGGTTTATGCACGTTTTATTGTGGCGCTCGGTTAGTGTCACTGAGCACAGACATAGAAACATGCCTGTGCATGCATGCATGGCCGAGACACTGATGTTATCTCAGAACTGGTCACAGTACGTAGAAAGAACGGCAGCACTGCTGCTGCCGTTTCAGCGTGTGCTCGTGGTTCAGTCAGACCTTTCCTTACACTGCAGTCAAATCACATGTATGTGTTTTTGTATCTTTTATTTCATTTAAATATATATCTTTTAAATGAAATATGAATGACAGAACATTTGATCAGTAAATACTTGTGAAGAGACAGCCATGTTTAATAGCCATAATACAATAAAAATATCAAATATAAAACTATAAATACACATAAATACAGTTCTGCTAATGATAAAAGGATATTGCAGTTGTGCACAGACTAGTATTACCAAAATCTCGTTTTAAAATCATAAACAAAAGGGTTTATGATCTTCATGTCCATTAGATTCTATGTTATTGTGTTGCATGTCTCAGCTCTCAGACGTCAGCTCTCTGCTTCCCAGTGTCAGAAATATAAATCCATAATGTGGTCATTGAAAAGTTTAACTGAGAATGTTCACTTTTGTTAGCAGGATAATACGAAATAATTATTGTAGAGACTTCCATTAACTATAAAATGCATCGGGACAACTTTCACCGTGAAGCTATTTTTCTAAACCAACCAAGAGGAAGAAAAAAAGGTCGTCCAACGGTTGTTCAGCGATGAAACATTTGCTGCAGGCAGCAGTTACTGTGGGATAAAATGAAAAGACAAGATATATTGTTATTGTCCCAGAGCCAGAAAATTCTACACAGGTGACAACTTTTAACTGAAAAATAAAAAGTGTGGAATTTACTCAGGCTCTCAGACACGCCAGGTATGTCTCAGGTAGGTCAGACGAAGGTATGTTTGGTTATGTTCAAACAGACAGACGAAGATTTCGTTAATTATTGATGTTAAATACAGAACTAAATGACATGGAGTAACCTCAGGCTACATTCCATATTTAAGACAAAGCCAGGAAAAGAACAGACTTATTATCAAATACTCTTAAATATATGCTGTGCTTACGGTAAACAACAAAATCTACCTGTTATGTACCCATAAATAGTGTCATTAAACTTCAATTACAGGAGAGCCAAACTCATTTAATGCATTTAAAAAAAGACAAAACAATTTGGATAATAACACTAATTAATAACTACAGTTTTCTAATGATAAGATTCTTATCTGATCCATTTTAATATAATATGTTGAAAATATTTTCCTCCTAATGCTAAAATAAGCACAGATGCATTTTTTGTTGCATTATTAAATATTTATTAAGCAAATGTATAGAAAAATATATATACAGCTTTGCCAAAATACTTTACAAGAATTCAAATGCAGCTTAAACATTCTCTTTTGTGGCAACAACATCAAATTATATGGAAGACAAATTCGTTTTATTCAAGCTAAAAACATTTTTTTTAGGACTTTCTCTGGTCTGTTTCGTGTTTTCTTCCTTCACCTTTTCATCACTAAATAAAAGTCCCGATTCGGACAGATTGGTTTGTAGCTCCAGCACAGTCACAGCTCAGTTTGCCACTAATCTTCTAAAACATGACCCTATTTAAACATCGCTCCAGTCCCACTGCATTTCCTCCACATCGTCACGAGGCTGAAGATAATCTGTGAGCAGAGTGATGGTGTTTGTTCAGGGGAAGTTTCCCTTCCTCTGCAAAGGAAACACAAGAAATAACCCATTAGCAACATCGTGACCATGTTTCTCTTTTACCGGCATTCAGTTTATTTTATCGAGATTAAACAGCTCTTCTCTAATCAACTAGGCACACAGTCGTATCAGCCTAACGAGGATTCCGACTTTATTTGTGGCCCATTAGTCTAGGAAGCCCTTTGAAACCCAATTATTTGAAGGATTTTTAATAGACACTTGTTGGTCAGAGAGTTCTCCCTAAGGGAATTAGAAATCTTAGGGATTAATAAAGGGATTTGTTGGCACGGATAAAAAGATGATCTATTTCATGTACGTAATCTAGTTTTGTATCAATTTACATGGGTAACTTGGTGTTACTGTCATGACAACAGAGCTAGCATTGAAGTCCACGTGCAAGATAAATATACTCCTTCTACCACTGAAAGCACAGGTCACAACAGCATTTAGCATCCACACAGTAGCAGACATAGAAATGATTATCCCACATATAATTTGACCTGAATTGGGGCACTCATAAGATTGCCCATTAGTTGTGCAAAGTTGACCGAAACATCTAACACTTTTGTGTCCAATATTTGACCAGTTTTTTTTCTTTTGGTGCAGTTCTTCTTAAAATTTACCCCTTACAAAACACGTTTTTTCTTAATGTCAGTTTTCATTGTACAAGCTGGGCAGAGTAAATACTCTGGTGATGATAAAACGAAGTGTTATCATCAGTTCGGCAGCATCAGAAGTCATAAGTAGGACATTGAAAGCAATAAAATACCACAAAACTCTCATTAATTGACAAAGAACTTCGCCAACTGCAAAAATGAATTATAGTTTGTGCATGGACTTGCACGCACGCCTCTCTATTCTTTGATATTTTGAAAGCCATTTTAAAGAAACTTCCCAGATAGCTCAATGGCTTAATTAAAATCAAGACCTCAGATCAAAACACACCTTTACTCTAGGTACGAGTGTACAGACAGGAGAAAGACTATATCTCCAACTGATGGACAGAGATGCTACAGAAAGAAAGACTAAGTTCTCTGTAAGTAAGTATTTAAGTAAGTATTTTATTCAACCTTCCTTTAAAGGTCGTCTCTGGGTTTTTAAATTCATTTTGAGTGTGTTGTACTGAAACCTGCCGCTCAGCCTGATCCTCCTTTTAAAAAAACTAACTTCAAAGGGATTTTTTGGTTAAACAAAGGATAAATAGGAATGATCTGTTTGTTGATGGTTATCAGAAACTGGTTCTGTGGGCTTCGTGTTTTTCAGCAGTTTTAATAAGGTTTGACGCTGCTGGTGGGAAATCAGATTTGGCTTCATTATTTCAGACGTCTGCCCTTAAAATTTCAGAGTTTCATTTTCATTTGGTTTTGCAGTACATTAATGTTTTGTGTGTTTTTTTTATTGGGGTTTTTATTCCCTACTAGATTTGTTGAGGCCAAGTCCTGAGGATGAAAAAAGGCAAACAGTTAAGAAATTCATTCATTTTTTATCAAACTTAATCTGTTTTTGTTAGAAATGTACTGCTAACAACAGTTTACACAGAAAATGTGTGGATTATGTCAGTTTTTTGCACAGGACAGCCAACTAACTAGAAAGGAAATGTTATTTATTCTGTGAAAACCAGGAGCTATTTCTTCTGTGCAATTTGGGGCTTTTTTAATCTTAACAAAAACCGTTGTGTTTCTTAAAAACGCACACACATTAGTGGTTGTTGAGGAGGAAAATGCAGCTTTTAGCAGAAAATAAATTCTCTCAGATGTTTTTATAGCTTAAAACACTGGATAGAAGCACTGCGGCTTTTTAGAGAGACAGTTTTATACATCTGTAGTTTTCAGCCAGGCCACAAAAGTCAACTTTCTCTTTAGCTTCCATCCTACAAAAGACTGAAATACTACTGAATATCAACAGTGGGCTGGCAGAGTAATTGGGAATCTGCGGGGCAAAAAAATACAGCACACTTCGGGAAACTATTCATATTATTGCCCTAAAATAAGTTAGGAAAGAAGGAATAACTAAAGGCCAATTTCCAAATTAGCCAGTTTGTCTAAGAGTATAGAGTCTCTTATACGTAAAACGCATGCTCTGTGGCATTGGGTTCTGGATAAAGGCTTGGATAAGAAAAACACCAGGCTGCTAGATTTTTGGGCCACACAGATGATCGTGGTTTGCGTGTCAAGCTTTTAAAATGGCGCCGGTTACTGTTCAGGAATTACTTGTCTGACCAGCAACAGTTAACGATAACGGAAAGCGTCCCACAAGATTTGGTTCTAGGTCCACTTATTTTTGCAATTTACTAATAGAGCTAATGATTAGCTAATGATCTATAACTTGTGCTAAATGAACATAAACGGTTCTTCAGAGCAAAACACAATGATGGCTAACTGCCACATATCCCCAATGCCTGGTGATCTGACACTGAGACCATTCAACTGAACAATTTTGTTAAGATTTCTGTTTTTGTTGTTTTGGAATTAGTACAAGTTTGCATGGTTTTCCCATGGTTGCATCGATTATCTCTGGGTACCTCAGCTTTCTCCCACAGTCCAAATACATGTGCTGATTACATTAACTGGTGATTTTAAAAATTGTCTGTATGTGTGAATGTGAGAGTGAAAGGTTGGCAGCCCTGCGGCAGACTGGTGACCTCTCTAGAGCATACCCTGCCTTTTACCTGGTGGTCAATTAAATTAGGGATTATAAACTGTTTGACTCTGTACCCATTTAAACTGTATTGGTATATTGTTTGGTTTTAATGTGTTCTCTTTTATCTTATCTACATGATTATTTTATGCTTTTCTTTTCTTTTCTACTCTCAGCTCTGTATGATATCAAAGAGCTTGTTTCATATGAACTGAGGGGTTTGAACAAGGCTCGGTGTAACATAAACAGTGAAATAAGCACAATGGTTTCACTTTAAATTAAAGCCAATAGGTCATTAATATTTAGTCTCAGAAATTCCCTTGTTTTTCATCACAGCAGTGGGGGTCTGCTAGTTTATCAGTAACAGTAAAAACATCTGGACCAGATGTGGTGCTACACAGAACTGGCTCAAAGGCGACGTCTGAGTCACTCTCACCTTCTCTCTGTGAAAGTTTGAAAGACGTGGAGTGGAAATCTGTAGCTTCTTGTAGTGCAGCTGAGCTGGGATGACTCAGACTCTGAGTCATTCCAGGGCTCAGACTGGGGGTCATTCTGGAATTCAAACTGGGAGTCAGACTGGAGGACTGGGGCTGCCAGTGGTGTCCAGAGTTCATGTAGTTGGTTGCAGGGCCTCCATACACACAGTACTGGTTCGGCGGAGAATATGCACAAGCTGAGAGGTAACCCGGCAGGCCGGATGAAGACTGAGGAAAACAAGGAAAAAAGGGAAGGTTTCAATCCCACTTGATTTGAAGTAACATTCCGATCAATCCATTATCTTTCAGGATGATTCACATGCCAACGCTTTGCATCAACTAATTATTGTTGTCGACTAATGCTTGGATCTGGTCTTACTTTAAAAATATTGTCACTGACATTTTTTCTCAAATTACCTCGATGATGGCTTAAACATTCATTTTGCCCTTTAATAAATATTAAAAGGTTTTCTCATAAGTGAGTCTGGTCTACTCGTTTTTTGAAAAGCCATTAGGCTGAAATGTACGTTTATTTTTAAAAAAAATAGTCCTGCATATCTCCCTGATCACAAACACCTTTAAAGCTTTACTTTTTTTAACCAATGAGATTTCTGGAGGACCTTTGAAGATCTTCCAGTTTCTGATTTTTTTAAATTGCACAGTCAGAAAATCTCCCTAATTTACAAAAAAAGAGTAAAAAAAAAATACATGAATAAGAATTTCAATTTTTTTTTAGAGAAATAACTCTTTCTCTAAATGTCCTTGTTTTCCCTTTCGTTCCAAAGTAAATAGTAAAATACTCCCTTTTGATTCGTCCACATTACAACAGCTGTTCTACAAGCTCTGTGCACATCAGCAGCTGTTAGAGGTTAACACAAAGATGAAATTAATGAGCTAAAGACACTTGAGACAACCTTTTAAGAAAATCCAAGAATTTAGGCTCCTTCTTCAAAACTTCCACTGGAGTATTTCTAAGTCTCAGTTTAACAGCTGTTTCTACTTTCCCCAAAATACTGGAAAACATGAGAGGGGCTGGTGGATTGTAGCCAATCAGGGCTCTCCTCACAATCAGGACTGACAACTATCATCAAAGCAGAACAAGCAAATGGCAAAATAGCAGCAAGTAAAGCAAAATTCAGACACAGAAGGATTCTGCCTTTGATAAATTCATTCGTGTGCTATAAATCACACTTTTATTTTCCAGTTCATGTAAAGCCTGTGACATGTTGACCAGTTTAATTTCATAGTCAAAATTTATTCCTGTTTTACTGCCAAAATAAACATAAAAGTCATATTTTATTTGTACCTTCCTGCAATTAAAAGTGTTCCTTGTGCAAAAAAAACCACTTTGTTTGCAGGAAATGTTCAGGTTACTCACCTGCTGTGGATATTTGATGTCCAGTTCGTTGTTGGGTTTCTCGACTCCATTGATTCCAGACGGAAACGATCTACTGCTCATACTGGTCATGCTGGGAACACTGGTCCATTCCTCCATTTTGGCTGGATGTCCATCAGATCCAGGCACACCTTTAAAAAAAAACATGTAAAATGATATAGCTCATAAAAAAATTATACAGTCTTAATGTTTTTCATTGCAAACTGATTCAGCAGAGATCAGTGGGACAACTTGAGAACCGATGTTCTAACAGTTATCTGTTGGTTCATCAGACTAGAGTAAAGTTGTTTGTGCAAAACCTATTAAATCAAATTTCATAAACTTGTTAGAGGAACAACACAGTAAATATTGATGTAGGTCAATGTTTTTGAAAGTACGTGATAGATAACCAACCGGCAAAGGATATTTGAGAAAGCACAAGCAAAGTGGCTCATATGAAAAAATAAGATTCAATTAGTCCACTCAGAGTAAATTTAAGAAGTAAATAAAAACATAATAGAATTAAAAAGTTTAAGATGGAATAAGAAGACAAGAAGTGGAGCCACTTCTGGCCTGCTTCAGGTTAAGATTAGCAATAATAACACATATTAGGGTTTGTTGAAGGACAGCAGTCGAAGGCTTTTTTGTAATTGTTAACCAAAACTCTTATGCACGACAAAATGCTTCAGTTAATATTTTTCTAATTTTCACATTATTTAATTTTGGAGCAACACCAGGAACGCACAGGATAAATATTACTGAAACAGAAACAAAATAAAAAGAAACTGTGGGGAAAAAATATAAAATTTAAAAGAAAAAGGTGCTGGAAAAGGTGCTGTACAGACAAACGCTTTGGTTAACAGCGTCTCTGATGGATTTGAGGCAGTTCATTCCTCTGTGGCTGCAGAACTTCAGCAGCTAAAAACATTTTTCTGTGGCACCTTTCACCCAAAAACAATAACTTCAAACTCTGCAGGAGAGCAACAAGCCCAAACATCCAGGCAGAGTCATAAAGAAGTACCGTCATCCTCCAGAAGAACAACAAGAGCTGCAGCAGATGGTCTGACCCTGCAGAGCCCTGCGCAGCAACATGGAAACTGTCTGGATCCCACGCACACTAAACCAACAGACGAGCGCTCTCAGAAACCTCCGTGCACTCCAGACTCCACTCTCTGGTAATATCTCCTGGATCTGGTTTGCATGCAGACATTGCTGACGTAGAGTGGCTGGCTTTTTGTCAGTTTGTGTTTCTCTAATCACATGATGGAGGGAGAAAATAAAATAAGGAATAATTTAGTTTTTACTGCATTCTGTTTGTCCAGTGTTAGGTGTGGTAAGGCAAACATTTAAATGTATAATAGTTTGTTGCTTTAAAGATAAATGTGCGCTGCGCAGAATTCGACAGGATGGATTTACTTAGCACGACAGTTTGATTGTTGAGGAGCATCACATTGTTTAGACGCACCCTGAGTGAACGTACTGCGAATGTTTGTTTGTTTGTTTTAAATGGCACCGATTTAAAATCATTCAGAGAAATAATGTGAAAGCATGAAGCCTCACGATCCAAAGGTTAAGACAGAA